CAACAGAATACAAAGGAGCCAAGCACGCATTAATAGCATGATGCCTAGAAAGATATACAGGACGAAAATAAGAACATTTTGAAGCTGAGGCAAAAAAGAACAAAAACAGGAACATTTAGTAGATGCACAGGAAAACTAACAAAATTCAAGTCTGTGTTTCATATAGAGAAGCTTGATCGTATTTCTATTAAATGACATTTGAACTAAAAGACGTTTTAAAACAAAAAAGTAGTGGATATGTAATATGACAAAGTTAAAGGAAAGTCAACACTGTCTTTTTAATCTTTTTACAATGAACAAATTCTGGACCAATTTAAGGATTAAATTCAGACACTTCAAAGCTCTCTGTGTTCTTGCTAAAAAAAATTAGCATAAGTTCAGCACAACGGCATGCCAGGCTATCTAGCTACTTCTCCTCAAAATGCTACATGGAATGCTCCAGTGACTTAGACTGTGATACTTTTGCTGTGGCACGATACAATACCAGGGCATACTGAAAGAGAAATTGGCTATTTATAAATGCCAGTATTTTAGTAATCATGCAATCAGAACTTCAAGCCATCCTCTAAACAGAAAGATGACTACCATATTGAAACTACAATAAATTCTTAACATCCAATGAGGTTATACAGTGCACAGAAAGAAGTCTCGAATCTGATTATAGACCACAGAACTCGATATGATGAAGCTGAGAAATAAAAAATCATCATACTCCCGAACACTAAAAGCATGTTTGGTAAGGAGGATTAGATAGCACCGAATAGTAATAAATGAAGAAAAATAAGCTAGATATTGTTCATTATACTATCTGGTCCTATCTTGTGTAACAAACCTACACTAATTGGCATATCATTGTTAAGCATGAATCCTTGCTTGCACACAAGCACACCTATATCTCAATACACCAGAGAGAGAGGGAGGGAGGGAGAGAAACTCACACACATTTCTTTGAATTTTGATCGAAATAAGAAATCATAACAGTGCATGCTCCACAACCACCCTCACCGCACCCAAGCTTCGTCCCAGTCAGACCTATATCTGTATAAGAATGAAAACTCGGAATAACGAAGATACATAAAGCAAAATAATCTTCAAATAAAATAGCTGAAGGATTTGCACATTATTTCCATAAGAAAATTGGGAAAAGTAGGATAAACACGTGACAACAATTTTAGCAATAAAAAATCAAATACCAACATTAATACCAAACTACTCTCTTCAAGAGGGTAAAAAAATAAAAGCAAGACTTTCTTACAATAGTCATACATAAGACTATGTTTGGCTAAGCTTCAAAGGAAGTAAAAGTCTTTCTTGCCAAACAAAATTTCGAAAATTCAATTTTCACAAACAAAACTTACATTTTTAGAAAGTAACTTTAAAGCTTAGCCAAACATGCTTTTCAATATTCCTTCCAACTCATATGTTATGTCAATTATACAGGAGCGACTCACAGGCCTTAATTTCACACTCCCAGAATAAATAGAAGTTATGAAAACAAGAAGAGCATAAATCTTAAAAACAAAAAAATAATCACTAAAACGAAAACAGGAGAACAGCGAATCACGGTCCACATTTTTATCCTTCTCCAACAATTTTGTTACTTCTAAAACCCAACTATATATATCCTAATCCTAAAAAAAATAATATTTTTCATCAAATACATTTTCAAATGCCTCAAGGACTCCAACGTTAGTTATTCTCAAGAAATACTATTTCTTTATCATTCATTCATTACTCGTTTCATCAAAAATTCTTTATGTAACTGGAGGCTAAAAGAAAACTCCAAATCATTAATAATAATAATAACAATAAAACAAACCTATCCAGATGAAACTCCTTGAAATTTCTAGAATTACCCAATAACAAAATCACTGCCAGAAACTACTTTTTTGAATAATTATAGTTGATAATATACCTCTGAGATACTCGAGAAGAGTTAAGTGGGCAAGCCCATCAGGCAAAACTCGACGAACACCATTGACATATAGAATCGCTTCTTTTGATTCAGACTCTTGGTTTCTTTGCAATTCAGTTTCTGTCGTCAAAGACCCCATTTTTTATTTTTCACTCACTGACTCTAAAGTGTTTTATATGTAATCCGCTCAGAAATTAGCTTGAAATCAGATCCTCATAAGTGGGGATCTTCAACTTTAGAATTTGTGTACTTTTATGATGGGATTTCTGGCCCGTGGTGGGGTGACCAAATAAGATTTTTTACTGTACGTTAAGGCGGTGGGCCGTTAAAAAAAATGGCTGGTAATATGGTTAAAAACTAAAATAGATAATTTGGGCACCCAATTTACACGTGTCGTGTTTTAGTCACCAAACTTAATTTTCTTACAAGTTTAGAACTAAATTTTTAAAACTTGTTTGGTAGAGAACCCAATTTACATATTGTTGATTTTTATTAGACGAGTGGGACCCAATAACGACTATATTTTCAATTTTAATTAGATTAAAATTTCTGCCAAAAAAGCTGTTATTTACTTGTCTCCTTGGTATTGCGAGTTGGGACTAATCGTGGACAACTCCATCATCAAAATCTAACGGATGCAAAAAAAATCCTAAAGAATTCAGATGTTGAATAAGATATGTTGGCTAAAATGAATACACCGAAAACTAATTCATTTTATTTTATTTTATTTTGCAAATTACAATATTAAAATCATTTAATTAAAGTTAGGTCTTTTGGCTTTCAATATCGTAAAAAGACGTTAGTTTCAATGTAGCAATTTGTCGATTATGGTTGTTTGGTCCTACTTAAGTCTAAATTTAAGACATGTAAGAATTCTGTCCATGGCGATCCATTTCTATTAGATTTTGACAAAGAGTTTGCAGGAAAATTAACTTCATTGACTAGTAGAAGGGCACATATAAGTTGAGTGCCCAAACAGTTCTTTTTCAAATCTATTACAGCGTCTTGCCTATCTGCATACTGCATACAAAACAAAACAAAATCTTGTTAGTTATACTATATGCATTGCTGATATTGCGTACTAAGGGTGTGTTTGAGCCACGTTATTTTGAAAGAATGTATTCTGGAATAGTAGATTGATGGAGAATGTGTAGTTGAAAAAGAAGAAAAAGTTATTGATGCGATGAAAAATATTATTTTATTGAAGAATGTGTGATTGAAAATGAGTAAGAGAATGATAATGAAAATTTTAATGTGTACCAAATAGGGGCTAAGTCTCAGTTTGGTTAGAAGAAAAATCAATTTTTAGCAGATTTAGATAAAAAGTGAATAAAATATGTAGTTGAAAGATTGATAAAAAGTTATGGATTTCATAAAATGTGTAGTTGAAATCAGTTTGAAAAAAATGAATTTTAAAAAATTGCGTCAAAAAATGGGCTAAATTGATTTTTTTGATGGCGGCGGATTATAAATATTTTTTTTTTCCTTTTAAACATATAAATAAAATTACCCACAATGATGGGATCACGAAAAAAAAAATTATTTTATGTTAAGAATAATTAAGAATATCATATTATAATCAATTAATAAATATTATATACTACATCTTGACTGTAAATGGATATCAATTATCACAAGTTAATGATGACGACAGCTAAATACCACGATAAGCAAGACTTAAAAAATCTATTACTTTATAACCAATTGTGCTACATAAACAGGTTCAGTGATAAAGATTAAGGGCCTGTTTGATACAGATTTTCATTTTGTATAATAAATCAATTCTCATTTTCATTCACACATTTTTCAATAAAATAATATTTTCCATCACATCAATACTTTTTTCTTCTTTTTCAACCACACATTTCCCATCATATCACTATTCAAAAATCAAATTTTTTGTTTTTTATTCTCAAATTTTACATTAAATCAATTCTCATTTTTAACCACGCATTTTTCAATAAAATAATATTTTTCATCACATCAATAATTTTTTCTTCATTTTCAACTACACTACACATTTCCCATCATATCACTATTCAAAAATCAAATTTTCCCCCAAAAATCTCCACCAAACACACTCTAAAAACAAGGGGATATGTAGCACAACACAATTAGACAGTTTGAAAAAAAAAAAACTTAATCACAACATAGCACCCGTCGCTGCCCTTGTTTGCAATCGTTGTTTGAGTAGCATTATTCATTTATAACATGTTTCCACGTGAAAAGTACCTCAAAAGTAATTAGATATTTTTTAAACCCAAATAATTAGATAGTTTACGAGTTTCACAGTTTTTTATTTTATTTTTTTAAATAGTAACTTTTTTGTATGGTAAGAAATGTATCCGAAGCAAGTATTGTGATCACCAATTGACCGATCAATCTATAATTGGCAATGACTATGAGGATGGGAAGTATAACATCCATATCGTCTCGTATTGTCCTCTCCAGCTAGGTAATCGGGTCAGCGATAAAGGGAACATGGTCCCACCTCGAATTTCTTGAACCCATCCCAAATTTTTTATTCAAAAAAAAAAAAACAAAAATGAGAATAATTTAATCATCATCCAATTGCCATCCTAATTGACTGAGACTCATAGTCTAAAGACACAAGGTGATGACAAGTTTCATCATACAAATGGAGCAAGACTCACTACGGAGGGTCACAATAATGGTTCTTCTCCCTATTTTTACCACGCGATCCATATGTAGTCATATTAATAGAGGTACATACTATGTTTTTCTTAGATTTACGTTGCCATCTGTTTTTATGTAAGGTACAACAAAGAAAAGAGAATAAGAAATGATGCAACAAACGACAATCGGGAAGCAAGTTTTGAAGTGACTTCACCCCGGTATAGCAACGTAGCTAATATCTAATCTAACTTGTCTCGAACTCGTTGATTGGCACACTGAAAGGAGTTATCCTCATATTGAACCTGATACAGATTAATGACATGATTGATAAAGTAAATTAGATTATAAAGAGCACTATAAAAAAAATAAAACAAAAGCTAAATTCGTCTATTGTTGAGTCATATTTAGTGTTGTGTGCCAAACATACCTTAAGTAACTTTACGTCGGCTCATTTTTGAAGAAGCACGTCCTTCAATGGGTCCGGCTGTGATATCTTAGTTGGGGTTGAATGTTCTGATTGGGAAAACACAATGAGTATTTGCATAAGGATCATAATCAAGGCCAAGAAAACAGCACAAAATGCAATCTCTCCCCATGAGAAAGTGGACCATTGCAAAAATTTGACACATCCAAAAATGAGGAAACATGACCAGAAGACTACCACCTGTAAATAAAAATAAGAGTGAAATATAAATCTAAAATGGAAAAGGATGCATTAGAAAACGTAGTAACAAGTTTTTCGAACTCGTGGAAAGGATATGTACCATCAAAGATTTCTTTGGTCGACCAATGTTTATGCATTGTTTGTTACCAAACGTGTCCTTAGCAAGATGATGCTCCAATAAAGCATCCTATCAGTCAATAAAACTTCAAGCATTAATACGTGTTAAGGGTAATCAGTTAAACATGAAAATATTAACCAACGTTTAAGGACTTGAGCTAAACCTCTTAACAAAAGTTGACATTCTTAAGATAGAAACTCAAGTCCCAATAATATGACAAATACTAAGTTGGCTGTGAACATGAATTGGGCAAAAGGCTACTTTTAAATTAAAGGATGCATGTGTACAACTCAAAAAACTGGCCTCATATTACAAGGTAAATGACATCCAAGAGGAAACAAATATTGCAGAGAGTATTTTTATTATGCTAGTTTATCGGTCAAAGTTAGAACTCATTTCGATAGTAACTTAAAGAGTTATTTTCAAAATAAGTAATTGTACTTAAAATTAAAAAAAGTAACTTATCCAGACATTTTAATAAATAAAAATTTGCTTGCTTTTAGGCTTAGACGAACATATTTTAATACTTGACTAATAAGCAATATTTTTAAAGTGACACATTTTATGGCCCTAGCTTCAATGAGAACGCCTTTAGAATAATATAGGATTAAAGTTTTTCAGGGATGTTGTATTTCTCCTCCATATTATATTAATTTTGTTTCTACCATATCATTGGGTGCAACTTCAACCACCACATGTGAAATCCTGGCTTGTTTGTGTCCAGTGTACTGTAATATCAAATAAGAAAAAAAAGGTCAATTATTGTCTATTAGTCTGTTGGATACTGTCGAGTCTTATTTACCAAACATGCAATGGATGTTCACTTATACGCATTGCTTCTATTTGTTCTCTATTCTGGGTGTTCACTTAGCATGATAAGCTATATCATCCAAATTCATATCTACACTTACCTTTGCCACGAATATATCTTTGCACCATTGTGCAATGCCACTATCTGTTACTGGCAATTCTTGCATTAGATGCCGCTCAATGTGCAGATGTACCTGTAGAGAAACGCTTTAACAATTAAGTCAAGATTATTCAATGCCAACGGAAACAAATACCTAACCCAATTGTCTATGTGGTGACGGAATGTGCCAAAAGACGCTCACTGCTTGGATGTAGGTTAAGAAAGCATTTGAATGAGTTTCTTCATTTACAAACAATTTCCCATGGATCATAGGTTTTGTATCATTCCAAATACAACCAAAACAACGATTAAAATCCAAAACTTGATCAGCATAATTTGATCATAACTAGGTGTTCCAAGATTCTTCATTTAACATATTAATGACTCAGCAAACCTAAAGAGAGCAGGTTTTAGAATGTTCTGGAAAGGGAAAATTGTCAAAAGTTGATGGCTTACCACAGAGGAACGTCCCCTGATGAGTCTTAACAATGTAGGCCGAGGCTCATTTTTTGGGATAGCCAGTGTAATATTATATATTACTGGAACAAATGAGCGCAAATGAGTTACTGCTGCAACAAAACCCTGGTAAAAAAATTAAATAAATAAAAAATAAAACTAAATAAATATAGACACGTAATATCCTTTGAAACTCTGCGTATAGACCAGCGGTGTAATTAAAAAATTTAATCTTACTGGCACAACATAATGAGACTAAAGAACATTAAAAAGACCATTCGTTCAAAAAGATCATTTATTCTAAAGAAATTGCTAATTTGGAAATGAGCCTCCAAGGCAGAGAAAGTTATGACCTGAGATAATGCATCAACTATTGGACCTTTATATTTGTATATACGCATTATTTACAATAATAACCTTGGTGCGGGGAATCAGAACATTCCTTGGAACAGGAAAACCTGCTGAAGCAGCATATTCTTGGGCCGCTAAAAGCTTTTCCTTCGTAAAGCGAGTTCCTTCGACAAAAAGAGCCAACCAAAAAGGCCGTGGGTAATCACTTAGCCCTTCGAAACCTGACTGCAGCATAACGCACCTATAAGAAATATGTTATAGACAAAGATGGCATTTATTCTCACAGAAGTTTTGAACAAGAGGCGAGCATAATTGTACCTTCAGTGTGTTCTCATCTTTCACCCAAGTTCTCTCTAGAAATATAAAACCAGAAAACCACATTGACCAACCTAAAACCTGCATAAATGGTAGTATTTCTTTTATCCATGACTACAGTTTTTGCCAGTTTTGTCGAATGAATAGTTGCAAAGATTTTGAAAACAAAGGCATTCAATTTTTACGAAAATCAGATAGTCAAATGCGCTTTTGAATAAAAATTATATTTTTTATTTTCTCTATCTTTTGATTACATGTCCCCAGATGAACATGCAAGACTTGTCCTGTAGGAAATATCAAAAATGAACTAATTAAGGATACGTTACCCAACTGGAAATTCAATGCTTTTATGATACGTTACCCTCACAAATGAGGGCAGGAAAAAGCTTTAGGACAACAAAAACAAGAAATAAAACATATTCTTTTCACCACTTCATTTAATTCAAAGCGATCTCTTCTGAAAATTATCGCGAATTATTAATAAATTAAGGAAGTTTCAGTTCCAAAACGAGAGTAAACAGTTAGTAAGATATAAGAAAACTCACAGGTAGAAATAATGCTGATTTTTTTATTATAGCTAGTGCGCTGCCAAGGCAACCTGTGCGCTGTCAAAAGAAAAACATAAAATTCCAGTCATAGAAAAAATAAAAAGGCAACCCATTACGTAAAGAACTATGTATACTAAATTTCCTTGTAATATCTTATGTTGCACGGATATTATGAGTGCAGGGGTAAGATTTTTATCATTAGCAATGTACTGATCTTATATACAAGTGATTTGGAACGTGGAAAGTGTTGTGCATCATTTTGCTAATGCTCATGTATTTGAGGAGATCATTTCGTAGAGGCTAAGGTAAATTTCTGGAACATGAGCCTTTTATAACAAAAATATCCAGATGCATACGGCAAAAATCGGGCAGGGGTGAAGGTGCTGTATAGAACCCTTTAAAGAGGATTCTTAACTTTTATTCAGAAATTCAAGCAAATTAGATTATTTGTCGAGATATTTTCAGGAAAATTTTCGATCAGAAAGCACTATGAAAATCTAAAAATCACTGAAAAGTATTTTAATTCAAACAGGTACAAACCTGAGCTAAGACCCATCCAACAAGCCAGTCGATGTCACTTTTGTGGTTAGAAATAAGAAGCGCGTGTTCTTTACCTGAAAAGGTCACAAATTCAAATTAGTACAATAAAGCAGTTCTCTATAGAGCTAAATTTTTAAACGAACTTAATAGAAGACTTGCACATATACACAGGGTACAAGTAAATTTCTTACCCAGTAATTCAAAAGTTTCAGGATCTGTGTATAGCTCAACCTATTCAGCAGTAAACAGTCATCCATACAATTTATACCCCATCATAAAACCAGCAAGATAGAATATGTATCACTTCTCTTTTTCTTTTTCTTTTTTCCTTATCTTTATACATGGTACATTGGTACTTGAACATCTGTAAAACTTTAATCAAGTCCTTCATACAGGAACAAACATTATATTAACAAATACTTTCTTCACATAATCTTTTTGATAGACAATCCACTTTTGCAATTGAAATAAGTTTGGAATCCACTTAAGCACACAAGTAGCGCCTCAATTCACTTAGCAGCAAAATCAACTTCTCGCAAGAATTTAGATCATGTAATGAATCAAACCAATACAATTTAGTGGTTTCTGCAATTGGAAGTCAAGTTATCCCAAGACTAACTTATGGAAGCAATAATATGACTAAAAGCTAACTTAATGAAATGTCAAGACTTAAATTTTTAGTTTCTGTATCCAACACTGAAACTAAAATTTATAAAGTATTTTGGCAAAACACTTGGATAACTGCTTGGTTTGACATCCAAAAAGTGCAATTTCAGATTAAATAATTGAACAACAGCTTGCCTTGACATTTTTATGAATATATACCAGAAGAGGAGTAAAAACATATGAACATTTAGGAAGATAAAATTGGTGCAATATGAATGCTTGAATATTTAAATTCTGCACTCTAAACATCAAAATTTGACAGGGCAACTACCCAGACCATACTTGAATAAAAAATAACTCGACTTGATGTGAACTCTGTACGGATAAAACTTGAACAGAATCTGGCAAACTAATTTTTCCCATTGTTTCAAAAGACACTTCACTGCAATTTACATCCTTAAAAATGAGAAGCTATTTCCTTAAGAAGGACTATGGCTTTTAGGATGTGTAACAACAAATTAGAATGAATGGAGAACACAAGAACAGTCATTAAAAACCTTGATGTTTGTCCACCAGTCGAAAAGCCATATGACCTCCAACCAGAGTAGTTCCGTGACTTCTTTGTTGATCCTTCTGTAAGCGTTCTTTGACAGAGGGCGAACAAGGACAAGGAGAAGTGCCTGAAAAAATAATATAAGATACAAAATCTGTAGAAAAGTACCCAATCGAGGACATGGATTTCGCCCTGCAATGATCATATATATCCTCTAATGACTATTACTGTTGTATTTCTCATCATACTTTTGTGGAAGTGGATTTATATATTTTTACTGTCACTATGTGGCTAAAATCATCTGTCAAAGACATTTGGAAACAATAAATACTAGAACTTGAAGAATGGAAGGAAATAGTGAAATACATGATCTATAGAACCTAAAAATTGACATCAAACATTTGAAAAAACGTAATCCCTAACCTAGAAGATGCAACAACCTTCTCCATAAGAAATCTTATGTAATTGCCCAGGACATTAACATCATTCTATGTTAATTCATTTAAATCCCCCAAAAGAAAGCCTAAAGCCACAGGTGAATTTGCATTCTAATGTGTTCAAAATAGCACCCGACAAACTCTCCACCACAAAAGGGCACTCGTCACAGTAGAACTTGAACCCGACGATCCTAAATAAGCACTTAAAACTTACTCTCTCTTACACAGATACAGTATCATATTGGCTGTTTAAATTCTGAGAAACAACACCCCTTCTGTCCAACCAACCGCATCAGTGGCCCAACATCAGATGCCTTTATCGGTTAATCATTTTCATCATTCACACTGATCGCAGCAAATTGTTTTGTTAAACCAGATTATAAACCTGAATATTATTGCTTAAGCTACCCTTGACCAATTCTTCCCAATTAAACCAGATCTGGCTGCGGCTTCAATACAACATTTACATGTCAATAGTAATTATGAAGAGGCAATCTACTATTCTAGAAAAATTTATGGATCAACGATTAATTATTTATTTTTAGCGTACCATTCATACCCACATATAAGGTGTACATGTATTACAAGATAAAGATCCTTAATAAACCATCTTGTCGAAATAGCAATCACGAGCTAGCAAAATCAATAACGTGCCCAAAGAAACCAGGAACCATTTTGGAAACGTAGAAATAAACAAATCCCAGCACATGGATTCCTCGATTCCATCCCACATTGATCTCACACAACATGCTTGATAAAATCCCCCAAAAAATGATTATTTTGAAAGCAAAAAAAATAAAATGAATTGGGTCGTAAATGTACCTGAATGAAGTTGACAATGAGGCCAGATAGAAGGAAGAGTAGACCTAATGGGAGAACTACCACAGCTGCGATCGCCATTGCTGACGCGATTCAGCTTCAGATTTTTGTTTTGTTTTTCTATTGTGGAGGGGGAGACGACAGAGAGAATCGGCGTTGGCTGTATTAACCGTTTGTATGAAATGAAAATGATTTGATGAGAACTTTAACTGAAAAGGCTAACGTGCGCCTCATTGCTTTTTACATTTTCTTTTTATATTTTTTCCTTCTCCTTTATTTTTACTTCCTCGACTAGAAATTTAGAGCTCTTATCTGGGTAAAGGTACAACGATGTGTTGGAAGGGGTTCAATTCTAGCCCTCATTTTTGATAGAGCATTTTCAAACTTATAAGTCGGCATACGCCATTTTTATGTAAATTTCACAGAAATCATAGTTTATATTTACTTTTTATAAGTATTATATTTCATAGCATCTTCAACTTATAATCCACAACAAATTTACTAACATAAAATTAATGTTCTTTCCTATTTGGTGAATAATTTCTCTTGTTCAAATGAAAAAATCTTAAAGATGCACTTGATATATTGAATTTAAAACGACTTAATGTTATTAAGAAATAGTACCATACAAAATATTGACGTGTAATGTTTACCTCTTAATAATTTATTTATTATAAGTCAAATCACTTTTTATTTATACATTTTGTGGATTGCTTATTTTCATCTATTTATAGCGTAAATCAATTATAATTCTGAGTTTGATTATCCTAAGGAAAAATTATCTCGAACCCTATCTTTTAACTATTCATTTTAATAATCAGGTCTGAAAACAAATTTCTTTCAAAAATCAGGAGCATCCCATGCCACCTCATCCCATTCCATCCCCTACCACTCACCCCCACTCATTCAAAAATATGTAACTCTCTCTCTCTCTCTCGTGCACATGTTTGGCCACCACCAACTTCCCCCGTTGTCATTGAAAACCAACTACTTGACTACCCTCTACACAGACTACACCCCACCCCATCTCACTCCATCCCCACTTATTATTTAATTCATTTCCCCAAATTTTTAGGTCTACAACTATTTTCATCGAATCGAAAGCTGCATCAAGACACATAATTGCCGGTCGGGTCTTTGTTGGGGGTTTGCACTGGAATGGCATCGTATGTGATCAATTATTTGAGTAATTGTAACAATAAAATGGGTAATTTATTATCAATAAATAGCATGTGACCTAAAAATGGATAATTCATGAGTAATAAATAATATGTAACCTACACAATAGATAATCTTTTATCAAAAAAAAATATGTGATCTAAAAAGTGTGCGATTTTCAAATAAATTTGTAATTGTCACCCACAATTTGTGTTTTTTGTGACGGCGATCTTATTCGATTTGTAACTAGTACGTAGCAAACGTAAATTGTGGATTTTGTTGACCTTGACTTGTTTAATTAATTACCAAGTCACAAAATTGTTATCAGGTGGTTATATTGATTTTTGAAACTTTTTCACAAATTTCTTTTTTTTTTTTTATTCATACTCTACCCTTGTTGGCATGTCAAGTCCGCAAACAACCTACTTTAGAAAAATGATGCTATTTAGCGACAGTTTAAGTCACCATATTTGATCGTTTAAATTAAATGAAGGGATAATTGCAGCAAAAACTCTAAACATTTGAAACATTAGCAGATTTTCCTCAACATTTGATTTGTCACAAACTGTCACCCCTAATCTTTCCAAACGTTGCAGGTGAAACCCTTTTGGATGATTTCCATCAATTTCTCCGTCAGTTAACCACCAAAATAAAAAATTGACCACTTTTCTACTAATATAGGGGAGGGTAAAATGGTAACTTAGCCCCCGTTTGACATCCATTTTCTTTTCATTCTCATTCTCATTCTCATTCTCATTTTTTTTCTTTCTTCATTTCAACCACACATTCTATTAATAAAATAATACTACACAGAAACCCAAAAATTCTCATTATTTTTTAACCACTTTTACCCAAAATGGGTGTCAAACAGAGGGTTAATATATTTTTTCATAAAATAATTAAATATTAAATCAAAAATAAAATAAAATAAAAAAGGAAAATGTATCTACTTCCCCCTAACCCCACCCCCCACGCACAAGAACAAGCCCAACCCCTCAACCTAAAACCAGAAATCTGACGTCGCCACACCCACAACCATCAACAACTACCACCACCGTGAACACCACTTCCTTGTTAAACCAAGAACAATCGCTCCAAGAAATGAATTAAAAAAAATGAAAAGCCTAAATGGAGCCGCCGCACTTTACCACTTTAACCACCACCTCTCCGCCTCAAAACTGTCGAAAAAATATCTCCCACGCCGGTGGTATCACACCCCAACACAAAATAGAATCTCTTCGGAGAAGAAGAATAAAGAATCACAAAATGTGGGAAGTAGCTTGATTGTTTCACTACAACAAGGACTACCAAATATTCTAAACAAATGTCTGGCTATTTGTCTACATGTCAAACTTACATCTGCAACAATGGTTACAAATGGTACTATAGTCCTCTACAAGATTTGCTTAGAACACTTCTTATACACTTGAAGATACATGAAGCCAAAAATCCTACTACACTTCTCCAAAAAAATTTTGATCTCCAATGGATGTTGACGTTGACGGTTCGTGTTGGCTTCGGTGACTTCCGCTGGCACCGATGGTGAGAGATGGATTGGGATTTGATGATTTTTTTTGTTTGGGATGATTTTGTGGTTAGGAGTGGGGGTGCATGGAGTGGAGAGAATGGGGATAGGTAAATAAGATGATGTTTACTTTTCTTTTAATTTTTTATTCAATTATCCCATTATTGAATTATTTTAATAGATATTTACTATTTTACCCCATTTTTAATTGATTAAAATATGATCAAACTTAACTTTTGCGTCAATTGACGGAGAAATGGATGGAAACCATTCAAAAGACCCTCACTTGCAATGTTTGGAAATGTTATGGGTGATGACTACAACAAATTAAAGATTTGAGGAAGGTTTGCTAATGTTTTAAAAGTTTGGGAACTTTGTTGCAATTATCCCTTAAATTAAATGAATCGTGACATTGTATTAAGTAAATTTATCATTTAATATCACGCAATTGCCACTAGATTGATGTTTGACATCAATGATACTAAATAATATTACTCACTTAAAATATTCTAATGACAATTTAACTCATTTTCCACTGTTGTGGTATAACACTACTGTTTTGGTATGAATTAAAATCAGATTTTTAGTAGATTTTGATAAAAGTTGATGAAATGTGTAGTTGAAAAGTTGTGAGTCCCATAAAATATGTGGCTGAAATTAATTGTTAACATTGATTTAGATTAAAATCTTGATTTTAATTTGTACCAAACGGGGGCGGCTTAATAATGTTACGTAACACTTCTCGTGTCTAGCATTGATCCAAGCATTGGACTCCAAGTATATGGAACTTGAAATTGTAGCAAGATTTACCTCCGTGTTCTCCTTGAAGTGTTGGGTGTTTCGGCTGCTCTGATAGACAAATGCTACCTGCAAAATGAGGTCGGGGCTTCCTCCGTCGTTTTACCTTCGGCGTGAAAATCAGTAGTTGTTTTAGGAGAGTATGAAGGAAAAATAATTGAGATTCAAATAGTTCGGGTTCAAAAAACTTCATACCTTTCTCACCTTAAGAGTATTTATAGGCACCTGATGCAACGTACATGTTCTGCGGTTATTGGTACCATGTGTCCCATGTAACTCTTCCCACTTTTTCCCACGTTCTAAAGGGATGACCCACACTTCTACAGCGGTTGGTTGTGTCTACGATTGACGTTGAACTATTTCCTTCCGTCTCATGGCCATTTTTAGAATTAAGTGTGGTGTTGGCCTCATAGCAGTCGAATGTCTCATGATGGTAGACGGTCTTATAATGGTAGATGGCACATGTGAACGTAGAGTAAGCCATAGTGGTAGACGGTCTATGATGATAGGTGGTCGTAGATGGCCTCACATGAGGTGCTTTACGTAGAGGGCCTATCAAGTAGTCCTCACCTTGTGGCCATCGTAGATCATTATTGATGCCATCTTATATCAGAACCTAAAGTTGGAGTAATACTATGTTATATCATTATTGGTGATAACAATCAGTTAGGTGGCGATAAGGTAGTAAGGGTGTAAGGAGTCCCATTTTTTATTTGATTTTGACATATTTTCAGACAAAATCATAGAATGGTTTGAGAAAAACTGAAGCCTGGAGCTGGCAAATTTATTCGATTTTAAATAAGGATAATTATAATAACATAATGATTTTTATTTCTTGCATCATATTTTAATTATACTTTGTTCATTATAGAATTTACGTCCGTATCGATTTTTCATGACATTCTTATATTCGAATTTTTCATTAACTAACAAATTTTGTATTTAATAATAGTTTATATCCAGAAATTTCATTGAAATAGCGTACAACAACTTATTCTTCTCTCATATTTTAAAAAAAAAAGTGCGAAAAATATTTTTCCCTCATTTCAAAATATGGAAATAAAATATTTTGACATAAATCATCATCATTGACAAGATGTACTAATTAATGAAATGCTGAATATATGAATTTGACGAAAAAATTAAGGAAATAATTGCTACAAGGAGTAAAGATTGAGAAGTTTAGCTACAATTAAACTGTGTTGTAAAAATAAAAATTGTGATGACAATATAACTATCCTTCAAATAATGGTTTAGAGATAGACATAATTCCTTTCGATTTGATTCCGATTAAAAAAAAAATCGAAATTAAATAAAAAATCAATAATCAATAATTTTCTTATAACCAAATCGTTCTATATGTAATATGCAACTAAAACAAATGGGTTCGATTTTGTTTGATTCGGTTTAATAACCAAAAATTTTAAATTATTAATGCAAATTAGAGTACAAATTCTATCACAAAAAGTGAAAACACTTACATCCAAAACCAAAATATTATGACTCATTCAGTGCAAATAAAATGTTTCATTTTCATACTATATCTACCATAAATAAAAGAGTCAATTTACCTTTACAGTTAAAAAACCGTTAGTTGAGC